AATAAATCGGTTATATATTTAAAATTGTGCTTCAAAAAAAAATCGGGCGTTACTTTTGATGCCGACTGTACATGTAACGGTAATTTGAAACAAAAATCTTTAGCTAAGCAAACGTTATGATTGCGTATTTATTGTCAAGCGTTCATTTGGAAGAATAGCAACTGTAAATCCATTGAAAGATTAGTTATAGAAAAATTTGATGTGAAAAAATTTCTGTAGAATCGCGAACCAATTATACACATGCTAGCGCTAGGATATACATGAGCTTGCAAAGCAATATAAATAAAGCAATTCGATGTAGTCATACTGTGAAGTAGCTTTACCTAAAAATTTTGGGATGGGAACATTAGTTATCGTTATAGTGAATGTTGCATTATAACAAAGTTATACATTTATATTATATAAAAATTTGTTATAAAGAGCAGTATACGTATAATGATCATAATGCGGTCATAAGTCATACAAAAAAGTGTGACTCTAAAGAGGTGTGACTGAATGGAGGTCAAATTTTCTATGCTTCATATATGTATCGAGGTATTACTGTAATAGAAATGCGTATAAAAACAATTCACAAGTCAACGGTAACTACACCTATCATCATATTATGTTATTTCATGTTCTAATGTCTGCACCTTTATACCTGATATTGTAATTATGCTAGAAATTTTCGCATTTTTGGTAAAAATAAAAAGCAGATTCCTGCTTTCCTGTTTCTATTCTATTTCAAGTCTAGAACTTAATTTTTCGAGCAAATTGACAACAAATAATCACTCGTTATACTTCCCGTTTGATATTCAATCAAACTTCAAAAAGAAATTTGCACATATACAAAAGGTAACAACAAAATTCAAAATTACGAGGCTCCAAACAATTCGTGAAAGAAATCTCCAGTGCAAGTACAACGAATTCGAGCTTTTGTAGGTGACTGAAAATTTTATCGAGATACTCCATGAAGGGATATGAAACAAAAAAATACTTCTACGGCAAAAAAATTTCTCTTCACCAATTAAAAGCTGGATGATTAAAATCCTGGACGTTGGATAAGCATCTATCGAGTCTTTTTTTGTTTTTCCTGATTCAAATTTATAAATAATTATTTTAGAAGGGTCAGAAACATGGATAGTCAAATGGCTAAAACATATACATTATGATCATTCACAATGGGTTGATATTTCCCCTCCCCCAATTTATCCCTTAAGAGAGCTGTCAATAGATTCTGAATTCGTACAAGCCAATATTCTAACGGTTTACCAGTAAATTCGATTCGCGATCATGCATTTTTTGAATGCTTGTTTGACACTATGGCAATTGAATTCAACAATCATTCAAGAAGTTCTCTAGAGCATGGCTTGTGTGATATATCTTTAAAAAATCAAGGAAAAATACAAAAAAATGCTACAAGATCGTAAGTCGTTTAGATTAATATCTAAGATTTTTAAGTTTACTACAAGTGAATGTAATAATAATTTATTTTAATAGTCTTACCATTAGCCAATTCACAAGATACAAATCTATGGTGGTCATTGAATTTAGAGATACTCTGTAAATATAAAAACTAGAGAACGATCAAATATAGATCTGGGAAATGTGGTGAATTTGTAAATATTGTGTTAGCATTCAGTAATTCATTCGATCTCGAGTTGATCGATTAATAAATATATTTAACTTATTCAGGCTACAAGGGCTCTATGAGCATATTCAAATTTATGTATATCACGTTTCGCGAATATGATCAGCTAATCAAAAAGCACATGAAGAGATGTGAACAATAGCAAGTAATTGATAAAGCAATGGTGTCTAGATCTACAAAAGAGGTGTTAGCACCTAAACTAAGTCAAAGAAGAAATTCTAAGGAGAAGGAAGATGTTGTAAAACAAAATGAAGATGATGCAGAGAAGAATAAAAGAGTGACATCAGAGTGTAAAAAGAGAATAAATAAGTAAATTATTACTTTTATTGATAATACAATCTGCTAATATTTCTTTTAAATTATTTTTGTTGATAACTATAATATTTCTTTTAAATTATTTTTGTTGATAACTATAATATTTCTTTTTATTGTTAATAATATTGATATAAAATTATTATTTTAGATATTCTTATTTTATAAATATTATATTTATATATTATATATATATTAGTTATAATTAAAAAAGTGTTTATTATATTTATCAATAAAGAAAAAATATATCAAAATGTATCTGAGTTTAAAATAAAAATTACTGATTTTATTCAGGAATAAATCAAAAAATTTAATAAAATATATTGGACAAAAAATAAAAAATATGTTAATCTTATTAAGAAGAGAACAAAATAAAATAGAGAATATTTTATAATTATTAATAAAAAAATTTATTCAGATTTAAAAATAAATATTATTCAAACTTTTTACTGATTAAAAATAAACAAGTATATACTGAAATGTATTATTAGCTATAAATAATATCAATAAAATAAAAACAATAATTTATAGTTTATTAAATTATTATATAAGAATACTTTCTTACGTGAAAAGTAATAAGATAAATTTATTAATTGCTATAAATAAATTATATCAATTGAGATAGTTTTCAGTTTTAATTTTAATAAAGCTTAATTCTTTATTTATTAAATAGTGAAAAGATCTAAAGAGCTATAGTACAGAACAGAAACATTTAAATATATAATTAATGTTAAATGAATTACAAATAATTTAATAATAAAATAGAAAGTAATTGGTTCTAGATTATTAATCTTAAAGGTGATGCATCTTCAAATTATATTGTACTTAATAAATATATAAAATATAAATAATAATGAAAGATAATTAATATGAATTAAAAATAATAAAAGAAAAAGAAAAGATAAAAGTAATTAAAACAATGTGTATTCAAATTAATAATATGATATATATTTTATATCTAATCTAATTAGCACAATATTAAGAAGTATTAAATGTAGATCTGTGTTAATTTCTAATATATTATGCAAGAAATAATAAATATAACATGAAAAAGAATAGACATGATATAAGAAATTACAAGAGTATATTAAAATTGTTACATATTATAATCTATATCTATATTAAATAATAATAAAAACAAGTTATTATAAATTTTATTATATATTTATTATTTATTAAACAAGATTATAATATTATAATAGTTTTTGTAAATTAATTTATTAATTTTATTTATTTATTTATATTAATACTTTTATAAATTAACTTACAAATCAAATACAAAAATACAAAATGAATATTTAACTTGTAAGTTTTTTTATATAAAATTTATTATAAATAAATTAATATTTTATATATATTATTATATTAGTAAATATTTAAAATTGCAAAATTATTTTTAATATTATTATTAAATTATATAAATTATCTATAATAATAATTTCAAATTATAATATAAAATTAACTAGTTATTTATAAAAAATTCTTTTAAATAAGCTTAATAATATCAAAATAGAAGATAATAATATATCTATTATCTTATATCATATAAATTAACTTAGAAATTCTATTTTTATTAATAACTCACTCAATACAAAAAAGAAAAATATATTTTTTTTAATAATAATATATAAATTGATTAATTAATATTATATTATTACAATAGTAACATAAAAATCGTTAATTTCAAAAATAATTGAAAAATACAAATTATTCAAAAATATTCATATAATAAGAATC